GAATTAATTATTTTATTAACTTTAGAAAAAAATAAATCAAATATTAAATCGTAATAGTTATTCATTTGAGGAAAATTGGGAATCTAATTCCCTTCATAATTTGAAATAATTACTTATTTGTTGTGGAAATAAATATTTAATTTTAATACTAACAAGATTTATTTTTATACAATCAACTCATAAATATTTTTTGTGATTGGAAGTTATTTGCAGTATGCAGAATTAGACCGGTGATTATCTACAACAATGGCCGTATTTTTTGTAATAAAATTAGGTGATAATGATTCCTAATCTAATAGATTTCATACTTCTCTAGTTGGAAGGAAAAATCAATGTAGATGAAATTACGGAGTTCGTGTGCCCACATATAATGGTCTGCCGAACGAGAATAGTATTACTGATCAATTGGTCGAGATTCTCTTAGAAGGAAAACATATGTTAAAAGTGATGTTTCCAGTCCACCAGAGTTACAAATTATTTAGATGTAATTTATTGTTCGTACCAACATAAGTTAAACTCTTCGTGGATAATAAATAATTTTCAAATTCTACTGTTCCACCAAATTAATTTTTCCCAACAGTGTTTGTTTTGTCTTGATTTTGAGTGTATTCCAATTTTCAAAAAGGAAAAAGGGGAGAAAAAATAGCAAGAAAACGCAGTCAAAATTTGAACGCTCTATCTATAACTATATACGAAAAGGGATTCCATTACTATTCAGTAAACACAAAAACATTATTCAATTTTTGGCCTCTCTTTTTGTCCTCGTTTTTTTTTTTTTTTTTTAAACTTCTCCGTCTTCCATTTTCCTTTTACTTTTCTCCCTCAAAATTTTATACTTCCTGCCCTTACTTTTAATTTTTCTTCTTTCATTTACACAAATTATTTTTTTCAGATGTTATCTTACTTAAATATTTCTTTTTAATAGTATCCTAAAATTTATTTATTTCTTCATTTTAATCCTTTTTTGACTTTTTTTGTCATGACTTCTTTCATTTTAGTTCATTTTACCCTAAAACTTATTTACTTCTTCATTTTGATCCTTTTTTACCCATTTTCTAAATTTTTGCACTGAAATTTTATTTTATTTCTAGTTACTTTTACACTAAAACTTATTTATTTCTTCATTTTAGTCATTTTTTTTACTCTTTTTTTATTTTAGTCCTAATTTTTTTTTCCCTAAAACTTATTTATTTCTTCGTTTTGGTCCTTCGTTGACCTTTTTTTATATTTTTACCCTAATACTTTATCTTTTTTCATTTTGGTCTATTTTGCCTTAAAACTTTTTTTTCTCCCGGTGGTGCCCCGTGGGTGTCCCGGAGGTGTCCCGCGTATGCCCCAGGGGTGTCCCGTGGGTGCCCTGTGGGTCTCCCGGGCGTCTCCCGGGGATGTCCCGGGTGTCTCCTGGGGGTTCGCCGGTGGTGTCCCGGGGGTGCCTCGGGGCTGTCCCGCGAGTGCCCCGGGGGACTCCCAGGTGTGTGTGTCCCGGGCTCTCCCGGGGGTCTCCCATGCGGTCTCTCTGTGGTCTCCTGGAGGTCTCTCGAGGGTCTCCTGGGCGTCTCCCGGAGGTGTCCCGGGTGTGCCCCGGGGGTGTCCCGAAGATGCCCTGGGGGTTCCCCGGGGGGTCCCGGGAGTGCCCCGGGCTTCTCTCGAGGTCCTCCCGGGGTGCCCTGGGGGTGTCCTAGGGGTGCAGCGGGCGCGTCCCGAGGGTGTCCCGGCAGTGCCCCGAGGGTGCAATCTGTCGGGGGTGTCGTGGGGGTCTGCCGGGATGCCCTAGGGTTGTCTCGGGGATGTCCCGGGGGTGCCCTATGGGTGTCCTTGGGATGTCCCGGGGGTGTCCCGTGGGTGCCCTTGGGGTGTCCCGGGGGTGCCCTAGGGAAGTCCTGGGGAAGTCCTGGGGTTGTCCCGGGGGTGTCCTGGGGGTTGCCCCGGGGGTGTCCCGGGGGTGCCCTGGGGATGTCCCGGATGTTCCCCGGGGGTGTCTCCCAAGGGTGCCCCGGGGTTGTCCCGAGGGTGTCCCGGGGATGCCCCGGGGGTGTCCCGCGGGTGCCCCGGGGATTGCCCGAGTGTGTCCCGGGGAACTGACGGGAGGGTCTCGGGGGTGCCCCGCGGTGTCCCGGGGCTCCCCGGGGTCCCCTTGGTGTGCCCCGGGGGCTCCCCGGGGGTCCCCTTGGGGTGCCCTCGGGGCGCCCCGGGGGTCTCGTAGAGGTGTCCCTGGGGTGCCCTGGGGGTGTTCCGGGGGTGTCACCGGGTCTTTTGGGGGTCTCCCAGCGGTCTCTCTCGGGTCTCCTGGAGGTCTCTCGGGGGTCTCCGGGGGGTCTCTCGGGGTTGCCCCGTGGGTGCCCCGGAGTTCTCCCGGGGGTCTCCTGGGGGTCTTCCGCGGTTCTCCCGGGTGTGTCCCGGGGGTGCCTTGGGGGTGTCTAGGGTGTCCAGGTGGTTCCCCGGGGGTGCCCTAGGTGTGCTTCGGGGGTGTCCCGGTGGTCTCTCAGAGGTGTGCCGGCGGTCTCCCGGGGGCGCCCCAGGGGTGCGCTGGGGGGCCCTGATGGTGCCCCGTGGGTGTCCCAGTAGTGTCCCGGAGGTGCCCTGGGGGTGCCTCGGGGGTGCTGTTATGAAATTTTTAAGAACGCAAGTATACGAATGGCAAACAAGTAATATAGAGTGAATAGAGTATCGATCCCACAAGGAATTAAAATTAAATCCGTTAAGTACTAAAATTAAAAAACTTAATCTTATTCAATAAATGAAACAATTTGAATAAATGTAGACTAAAGATACTAAAATAATGAGCAAAAAGATTAATGATTTTATCAAGCAAGATAACCTAGAATTACAATTTCCCTCAATACTTTTATTTAAGCGTTCTCAGCCCTTCTCATTCTAATTAATTAAATCCTGTTGCTAATCGAGAAGCCTAATTTACTTAAGCGACTCTTTCGAAATCCCATAAACATACCTATTCTAATTAATTCACTATATTCCTATGAGAATTAAGTCAAAATAGATTCATTAAACACAAATCCCAAATTGATTGCATATGGCATGAAAGTGTATTTCTATCTCACACACAAATCTAATCATTTCTGATAAATTGATAAAGGATCATATGCTACTCTATCCAGGGCTAAACGCAAAATCAACTTTTCCAAGCAAATGAAGGTTTTTCATAATCAATCTAACCATCGGCCAAATAATTAGAAGCAATAAAGATAAGATGGAATAAACAACTAAATTTCATTAATAAAAAATAAGGAAGAACGTGAAAATAACTAAAATTATATGTTGAGTTCCATTGCAATTCCAGACAAAAGAAATTAGTCCATGACCAAATTAATAAGTATCATCAGAAAAATAGAAGGATTCATCTGCCTAAATTTAAGAAGATGAAAGATGAAATTGATTCTAGAAATATTGATGATGCGCTCCAAATTCATCTATGCCTTCTTAACAATTTGAGCAAAATCTCATTTTTCTTCGTGGTCTGCGAGCACTTTTTCCGGTCCGTCTCTTTCCTCCCCTATAATCTCTTGTTCTTCCTTTTTTTAACTCTCGTCCTCACCCTCTTTTCAGGACCCCCGTTACTCCAGCCAACCGTGGGGTAGAGCCTAGGACTCCTCAAATCTCGCTTCTCCATGATTTTGTGTTTATCTTTTTCCTTTTGAAATTCAAAACCACCTCTTCTATCCTACACAACCGAGATAAGGGTAAACTCACATCAAAATAAAGTAAATTGATACTATCACCAAGTTAAATTAACTCGATTAAAAATAGTATAAAATAAATAAAAATTATTAAGAACATAGCTAATTTAAGTGCACAAAAAATGGTAAAATAACTCTATTTTATAGAATTATCAGGTGCCCGGGGGTGTCCCGGGGGTGCCCTAGTGGGGGTGCTCCGGGAGTGTTCTGGGGGTGTCCCGGGGTGTCCTAGGAGTGTCCTGGTGGTGCCCCAGGGGTACCCTGAGAATTTTTTTTTTTAAATTAACGAGAAAAAAACCCCAATCATAGTCCAACACTCAGACAACCCAGTGTATATTCTCTCCAACACTCAGACAACCAATTAAATTTAGAACTGATATATATTTGTTTTAATTAAATAATTAAAATAAATATTTTTGCAAAAACATATTTATATTGCTAGTATTTATTGCAGACTATTCATCTTAATATTTAAAATAAATATTTTGTGTACCTAATATTTATGTTGCCACATAAAAAATACATGGAACAAATATAAGTATTTTATGAAAACACGCTTACTAGTGTGCCAACACTATACGATATTTTATGTGCACCTAATATTTAGAAAATTTTTGCGGATTATTTCAAGATTTAAACCTTTAAAAAAAAAAAACCTTTCGTTGAAGGATTGGTATAATTTAAGAGTATAAGATTGGAGAAAACCTCTCTCTTCAACATTAACTGTTGAGCGCTAGAGGAGCAGATCGTCAAAACTCACAGAATGGTGACATTTACAAGACGTAGAAAAAATTCTAACCGAATCAAGACTACCCTATCGGGATTAAGCCGAACACCTAAATCTAATAAAAAACAACAAACTAGATGAGAGTCGAGTTGAGAAAGCACCAATGTTATTACAAACACAAAAGTTACAAAAATGTAAAAACCTCCGACCACAGTCCGTAGAAAATACATGATGCAATTCCTTTCATCGTCCAATCACATGTAATTATCTATACATAATACGACATGTACATTTATTATATAAGGAAGAGATATAAAAAATTAACTATTTTACTGTTGGGTTGGAAAAATACTCCATTAGTAAGGTTATCTTTTGAACGGTGAGATCGGGTCAGAAACTGTCCATTTGCATTTTAATTATTTTATTATGATTTAAGTTAGATCTAACATTTAAAAACATGTTTTGTTGACAGAGATATTTATATCATAAACCACTCGGTGAAAAACATCCATACACAAATCTTAATTTGTCGTAGAAAATTGACAAGTAGAACAGTGCGATTCAAATAAAATGCAGTCGGAGGAAGAAAATAGATCAGAATATATAATATATAGAGTTCTAATTCATCGCATACAGGAGATCAAGTTAAATTTATGGTGACCACATCACCTCATACATTGAAAACAAAGACTAGTAGTAATGGAGTGCAAATAGAAATTTCTTAATTTCCTTATTTTGGCTGGGAGTGCAGTAGTCGATCGATGAGTAGAAATCAAGTCAATCGAAGTAGGGCAGCACCCGATTGGCTCTTTAGTAAGACGCTTTTGATGTACTGCGCCACAATTTTTGATGCTGCAGCGTACTTTTCCAGTGGCTCCTTTATCGAATTCTCTGTGAATAATAATCAAAATTTATCATCAGACTTTTATGATAGGATAAATTAGGGGCCCGTTTAGTTCGCTGATTCGAGTTTTTAATTCGAGTTGAGATGTGACTTTATGTGAGAATTTTTTACTGTAATAAAAAAGTTAGATGTGATTGTTTGTGAGAGCTTTTTACTGTAAAAAAACTTAAATTCTAAACTCGAATCAACGAAATGAACGGGGCCTAGGAGTTTGTAAGTTGTAACTATTGTTGTACTATTATTATTATTATTATTATGATTATGGATAGAAACTATCATTTGAAGTCATAAGATTAAGTTTAAAATTGGCTGATCTACCGTTGTTTATTTAATAGATCAAACGGTTGCAAAGTTAATTTAATAGATTAAAACTATAATTCCTACCGATAGAAAAAAAGAATATGTCTTAGTTGAAAAAAGGGCATGTCTATGGTAGGGGGCGTACTTTTTCCCCTACCGATAGGATAAAATCCTACTGACCCTTCGATTAAAGTTCAATGGCCAAAAATAAACTTTCACAGAGACACAAATAGAGACTACCGTACCTGATTATTTAAAAAAAATTGCCAGAAAAACAAAACAAAAAAGAAGAAAAAACAATCTTTCATCTTCAACATTCACCACAGCCGCCTGAGCACCGCCGTCCCCTCCACTGCCGACCACAACCTCGCCTTCCTTGACGACACCGCCTCATCCAACGAGATCAGAAACGACAACAACAACAACAAGGTAATCAAGCATATAATTGGAGCTATATATGTATGTACCGTTTTCGTTAAGCAATCTCAAAACACTGGACCGTGTCGGAATTAGTTCCCTAACGCCAGCAAAAGCTTCCTTAATAGTCGATCCGTGGTACGGGGAAAATACTTGATCATAAGCGGTGGTGATTGGATCAACAAGTGAATCTGATCCCCTGTATATCACACAAATATTAATTTTTCCCTTGATCATGTTAAATCAAGTTTGTCAAATAATAATTACCAAAATCCCATTTGCATAAACGGATAGAACAAAAGAGAACTTACGAGGTATTTATATAGTAAATATATGTGAAAATAATGCAAAGATCAAACTTTTAGTTCAAAAATTAAAGATGTCTCCCTCAAAAAAAAAAAAAAAGTTAAAAAATGTCTAATCTTTTCTCAAGTTCATAGAGAGAGAAGGCTGAAAATTCCAGGAACATACTTGTTTTTAAGGATTTCCTCAAAGATAACCCCAACCATTTCGATTACTCGCTTCAAGCGAATAAGGTTTCGGGAAGGACTGGTAGTCCGTTTCGCCGAACCTTGTGCAATATCTCGCTCCACTAAAGCTTGTATCGACTCATTTTCTCTCGCTGCCTTCTGTACATAATTCACCTGTTTGTAATCAAGAGCATCTTTATTAAGAAACTAAAAACAACCTTAAATTAACTAATAAATTACAATATATATATATATATATATTACCAATCATGTAACAGAACACCGTTGAAGAAATTAGGATTTAAAGTAGTGACTATTATATATTTACCATTAGTTTTCAAAAGGGTGAGAGAGAAGTGTTGGGTTTTCGTTTTAGTTACCTTGGAAATAAGTTCTATATCTGCGAATATAAAAGCGAAGCCGAAATTGAAGTTGGACATCTGAAACAGAAGACAGGCTTGAGCAAGCTGGCGGGCCTTGATGTGTGGATTGTCGGACTTGACGGTGCCGGCGAGCTCTTGAAATGCATTTGCCAGTTTCCACAGGTGGCCTTTCTGGGAACTGGTGTTGGCCATTGGAAAGGTAGATGCACAAAGTTGATGATTATGCGAGGTATGGTAGGTTTATCTACTTATAGTCGATCAAAGAATCTAAGAGGTTATTTGGTTGAGAAATTCGTTATTTGATTCGAATTATGATTTGTAATTTATTATAATATTTTTTCTCATAAAAAATATATATAAATTAAAAATAATTTTAATCACATAATTTTAATCCATGAATCAAACATCTCTTAATATATTATACGAAAAAATTCATGAACCAAACGTCTCTTAATATATTATACGAAAAAGGGTTTTACTGTTTATATTACAGTATTATGAATAGTATATTTTCTATTTTATCATTTTATTTGTGTATAGACTATTTTGTCATTTGTTGTTTTTTTATTTTATTATTTAATTTATGTGGTTTTAGTAATTTTGTTTAAATTGAGTGTGTTAGAACTTTTTTATCTCTCTTCTGTCTCTATTAAAAGCAGCTACAATACTTTTGAAGTAAAACTTTTTTCCCACCATCTCTTTTCTGTCTCCAATGTTTTTGGCTACCCCTTTTCATATTTCTTTTCTCGCTGTATTTGTTCATTCTTCCTATTTTTTATTGCCTATTTATATATACATTTTACTTTGGTTGGCTTTCTCATTTGCGTTCGGAGAGATTTTTTTTTTTTTTTTTTATATTTCGTCTCGTTTACTTTAGATTGATGTTTTTATATTGTCTTTTTTTTACCGTTTGTTCTCTTCATCTTTAACTTTTTTGATTTTTTGAGTTTGAATTTTCTGGGGCTACTAATACGTTTGGGTTGAAAGACGCGTTGTTTGATCAGAAAAAATAGGAGGTAGAACCAATAAAGATTTCTTTTTCGATTCATCCCTGGAGTTGAATACCTCATTCAAGAATTGTTTTTGATCCAATCTGTAGGAATCAATAGAAAGGGCAAATCCCTTATGATACACCAGATCCGGCTCGGTTATTGATAGAGTGAATAGATCTGCCATTTCTTGAAATCTCTCTCTGATTCAAAATCGTGGTGTAACGTGTATCCCCCCCTGTTCCGGTCATGGAATAGATGAAATAAATCAAAAAATGGATTTTTGTTCAAGAATGAAATCTTATTGGAACTGTCCATATCCAGTTCATCCTTCGGAACCATATCACATCCCGGATCTGATGAAATAGGATGAATTGAGACGGTATTTTGTAAATACGTAATTATCTTGAATATATTAACTATTTCCTTATTTTCCGATCGCCTGGAAGGGACAAAAGAAACATCTTGTTCTTTCTTCAACAATTTATGATCTCTAGTGGACCTCTCAGTAGGATTCGAACCCAGATGAAGTTCTGACCATCTGTCAGAGAAAAAAGAACGAATGGATCTTGTACGATTCCCAAGAACAAGAAATTCTTCGATTTCTTCCGGAAGCAGATGATTATTCATCTGCTTCTCACGTTCCGTGAATAGCCGGGACATTGAGGAATATCCAGAAAGACATTTAGGGGATCGGTCTGATTCTATCTCTGTTCGTTCCATTTGAAGAAAGGAAGGATCCCAAAGAATCGATCTTTCTTTTAGTTGTTGAATCTCTCTTTGATTGATCAATGTGTGATATTCTGAATCCTCATTCCTAATGGAATCAAAATGATCTCTGGATCGATCAGAAGATCCTTTCAATTGGCTAAAATCCGTTACTTGAACGAAACTAGATCTTGTGGAATCATATTGAATATTTGACGATACATTCCGTACCTTGCTAAAAAACCGATCCTTGTTTTCCAACCACACATTGTCTAACCAAATCCAATTCTCTCTCGATATGTTCCTCAAAAAATCCGATTCGTGCGGATTCTTCCCCCAACTAAAGAAGAGATCTTGGCGGAATTGCCACATATGAAATTGAGCACAATTTTGCAAAGAAATAGCCCACTTGTTTCTCGAGAAGAGATGGGAAACATACTCAATATCATTTGATTGAATAGTTGACCCAGCTCCTTGTTGTTTGAAGAAACCCTCCGCTTCAATTGGTATTTTTTCACGAAAAGCAAACATGAGATAACAAATCCAGTCTTTCACTAAGATTTCGAATAGCTGTCCCGAATTCAAGTTGATTATGTTTCGCCTCTTCCTCGGAGAAAGACGATCAAACAATTCCCAATCATGGTCCTTGCGGATCGGATCATCCATATAATATACAAAAAGAAACTCCAGATATTTGATATCTTTCTCTTTGAATGAGATCTCAATTCCAGTGACGGTTTCGTTAGATATCTTACAACTAGAATCCCTCTTTTTTCCGAGCCAGTTCCTCCACCATCGCGAGCCCCAGTTAGATTCAGGCATGATACACTTTTTAGTTATTGGGAGAACCCAAGTACTCTCTTTTGGATCCAGGAAACAGCTCTCAGAGATCTTTTTTCCTTTTGGAAGATACAGGAGCGAAACAATCAACCTATTGATATTGGAAGACCCAAAAGATTCTTCCAATGTATCATTTCTGGGTCCAATGAAATTCATAGGTATAGGAAGAAGCCCTGTCAAATAGAGATTTTTTCTTTCGACCATCTTTCGATTGTTAATACGATATATAAGGACCGATACTACAAATAGTACTACACCCTTGATCGTTAAATATCGATTGCTTGTTGAACCCTGTAAATGTGAATTGCGTGAAAGTAGGATACTCCAAATTCGGGAGTCCAAGAGTTTTATAAAACGTTCTTGATGGAAAAAAATGTAAATGAAAGATACCACTGAATTCAATTGGGTCCATGAATCTAAGAAATAGTGAGAATTCTTGATCTCTCTCAATATCTCTCTCAATTCGAAAATCCAGGATTTGAATTGATGTCCTTTCATTAAGATTAAGCCCTCCTAAATATAGGTTTGCACTTTTACCCAATCTGGGAAGCGGCTTCTGTTGATGAA